ATTTAAATGTTGGGAGGATAAGCACTTAGTGCTGTTCTAGATCTGATATGTTGACACTACACAAAACACTTAGTAAACTTAGATAATAATTACCTGCATTTCCAACAGGAAGGTCAGCTGGAGCAGGGCAGATAAAGAATCCAGAGAAAAACTGAATACCAGTTAAGGGCAAACCGAGAATTCAGGTCCAGAAAACAAGGGGGTTCCCAGTTTTCAAAAGTTAAGCAGAAGAAGGTAGATATAATGGAGATTCTCACTTAAAACAGTAGTATTTTGTCCAGATCAAGCTAAAATCAAGCATGTATTGAGTTGTTCATAGCAGAGAGGAGACAGAACATAGTGATCAAGAGACTGGGTTTTGTAGAAAGTCTTGGGTTTTTAGTCCTGATTCTGAAATATACCAGTTATGCAACCTCAGTTCCCCAAACCTCAATTCCTCATCCATAAGCAAAAAAAATGTAAATGCTAAGATTTAGTCACAAAAGTTCCAACTCAGATCCCCAGTGAATATTAAGATCATTGTGGCATCAAAATTGGTGCCGTGAGAGTCAGGCTGCCATGGAGAGACGTACTCAGGCCCCGGACACAGACCTGTCTTGACTCCTAGATTAGATATGTACCAGGCACTTTAGAACAAGTTTCTTAATCTTTCTGAGCCTGAGCTTCCTCAGCTATATAGTGGAGATAATAATAATTTCTAAGTAAGATAGGGTAAGCAAAACACCATTACAATGACTGGCACATACTATGTGTTCAAAAAGTCATGATCACTGTTGCTTATGCTTGCTCTTTTCAGGCACTTTGCTACATGCTGGAGTTATAACAGTGAACAAGAGTATATTTCATTCCATCTTTCAGGTATTTAAAGACAGATGCCATGTTCATATCCACTCTGGTCTCTTCTTCAGTTCCTTAGCTATTCCCCCATGACAAGATGTCCCAACACGATCCTCTCTTTCCTGGCCATTGTTAGACAAGCTCTGTTTTGAAAATAACCTTTAGGAATATGGCACCCAGAGGGGAGGTGATATCCAGCCATGATGTGATCAACCTGAAATATCATAAGAATTTGGCTTTGACCTTAACACTGTACTTCCGCTAACCCAACCAACATTTCTATTAGTTTTTTTTTTTTTTTTTGATTCCTGCAGTAGTTACAAAGAAAACTACAATAGCATTGTTGCCAGACTCATTGGTGCAGTGTACAGCCTGAAAAAGTATTCAGTTATTTTAAGCAAGCTGAAAAAATAAAGAAGCAAAGATTCTGTATGAGAATCCAAAGTAGAATCATGGAGCAGAAAGAGTCTAATATGCCTCCTTAATTTTGTAGGCAGTCAGGATCACTCTAAATTAGTACCACAGAGAAGATGGATGTTTCCATCCAGGGAAAAAAAGAATCCATTAAAATGACTAAGAATAGAAATACTTAGCCAAGAAGAAATAAACTGTGAATATATTTTAAAGGCAAACTCCATAGTAAAGTTGAGAAGATCTGTAATAACGATGTCAAACATCTTCTTTTAAATCTCATAAATCCTACCACAGGAATAGAGTGGAGTGAGAGCAGATTTATTACTTTCTACAAAGGCAGAGTCTTCTACCAATGCCTGCAGATAACCCAATGGGCCATCAACAAGTAGTTACTGCAACCTCAGAATTTAGACAATCTCCTTTACAAATTAGAATAAAGAGTCCTAGAAGACAGATTATATTCTCTGAGCTGTTTTCACAGGACTATTTTCTGGCTGTTTGATTTATTTGCCTAGGTCTGAGTGTCAGAGGCCTGAGAAGTCATCTCTGGATTACAGAGATGAGCTTAGAATGAAAGTCACATTTTGTTTTATAAAAGCAGCTCAAGCATCAGGGTTTGAATGCTCGGCACCTCTTTAATCAAACCAGGGCTGTTCAGTGCAGGGCTTTGTAAGTGAGCTAATTAGTAATGTGCCAGAGACTTACCTGGTTAATCAAATGATTAATCACTCAGTAGACTTCATTCCTCTTGTTTTCTGGCTGTCTTTGGCTCCTATATTTGGTGTTTTTGTATTTTTGGGGTAATTAGCATTTTAATAGCTGGCAGCCACCATTCAGGGTAAAAAAAAAGGGGGGGGGCATTGTCCCATTTTAACCATTTTTTGTACACATAAAAATGAGACAGACGGGGTTCCCTTCTAGAACAGGTTATATGGCTTGACCAAGAAACGTTAAGCCAGTTCTGAGGAAATACAATATTTGGGTAGAAGAGGATTTGAAACTCTATGGAAGGTTTGAGCCTTCCTTTACATATGCAGGCCTGGTTAGAGAAAAGATTTTTGAAAATCACATGACCATAAATCAGCCGACTTGATTTTTAGGTTTCTTCCATTTATTTAGTATTTTACTCTTTAAAGTAGTTTTAAAGGGAAAAGAAGGCTAGCCATTTTGGCAAATTCTAACATTGAAAATAAGGATGCATATTTTATAGTTTTGTTGAGAAAATTGATAAATATATAAGTGCTATAATTTGGATGTTTGTCCCCTCCAACCTCATATTGAAATTTAATCCTCAGAGTAGTGATGTTCGAAGGTAGGGCCTAATGGAGGTATTTGGGTCCTGAGGGCAAATTCCTCATGAATGTCTTGTTGCCATTCTCACAGTAGTGAGTGAGTTCTTGCTCTGTTAGTTCCCATAAGAACTGGTTGTTTTCTGTTCTTGTGATAGTTTGCTAAGAATGATGGTTTCCAGCTGCATCCATGTCCCTACAAAGGACACAAACTCATCCTTTTTTATGGCTGCATAGTATTCCATGGTGTATATGTGCCACATTTTCTTAATCCAATCTGTCACTGATGGACATTTGGGTTGATTCCAAGTCTTTGCTATTGTGAATAGTGCGACACCACATGTTCTCACTCATAGGTGGGAACTGAACAATGAGATCACTTGGACTCAGGAAGGGGAACATCACACACCGGGGCCTATCATGGGGAGTGGGGAGGGGGGAGGGATTGCATTGGGAGTTATACCTGATGTAAATGACGAGTTGATGGGTGCAGCACACCAACATGGCACAAGTATACATATGTAACAAACCTGCACATTATGCACATTTACCCTACAACTTAAAGTATAATAATAATAAATAAATAAATTAAAAAAAAGAAATATAAAACAGAAAATAAAAATTATCTGTAGTACCACGTAAAAAAATAAAATAAAATAAAATAAAATTAAAAAAGAACTGGTTGTTAAAAAGAGCCTGGCACCTCCCACTTTTCACCTTTGCTTCCTCTCTCACCATGGGATCACTGCACACACCAGCACCCCTTAGCCTTCTGCCATGAGTGGAAGCAGCCTGACCTTCTCACCAGGAGCTGAACAGATGCCGGTGCCATGTTTCTTGTACAGCCCAAAGAGCCAACAGCCAAATAATCATTTTTTAATTTTATAAACTACCCAGCCTCAAGTATACCTTTATAGCAACACAAACAAACTAAGGCAGTAAGTTAACTGTAAGTTCCATTTTACGTGCTTTCTATATAAGACGTATTAAAAAAAGAATAAATGCATTCCTTTAACAGCAATGTTCCAGCTCTGATCATTTCTAGATTAATAATACTCTTAAAGTTTAGTTATCCAAACTGTTAAAGAAATTAATTATTGTTTTAAAAGATAATAATATAATGGACCAATTTCAATTTAATATCTTAAAATAGTTGTCACTCACAAAAATATGCAAATGGCTAAGAACTACATTAATCAGTTTCCAGAAAGATGTGCACCAGGTCATTACGATTACCCATGAAAATCTGCCCTCCTGCCCTGTCCATGTGACTCCTCAGCCCATCTTTCATAGCCCTGTGGATCTTCACCATGCAAAAATACCATAGGAGAAGATCCTCTTATTATCCCAATGGCATGGATGGCAATATAATGACAATTATTAATTTGTTTACAATAATTATTTTGGTTGATTCCTATATTTGGACTCCAACATATATTGCTTTCCATGTCACATATGCAAAATTCCTACATTCCCAGTACAGAAAATGTAATCAAATATTACTTGACATTTTTAAAAGACTAGCATAATCCTGAAAGTAGTTGTAAATGGCATAAGTGTCAATAGGCTTCCATCCTGAAAATCTGGGCTTTCCATGACCTTCTGGAAACAGCAACATTTCAGTTGGAATTTTTATCTTTTTTTTTTTAGACAGGGTCTGGCTCTATCGCCCAGGCTAAAGGGCAGTGGTGCAATCTCAGCTCACTGCAACCTCTGCCTCCCAGGCTCAAACAATTCTCCCACCTCAGCCTTCCAAGTAGCTGGGGCTACAGGTGCATGCCATCGCACCCAGCTAATTTTTGTATTTTTTTGTAAAGACAGGGTTTCTCCATGTTGCCAAGACTGGTCTTGAACTCCTGGGCTCAAGCAATTCATCCATCCCGGCCTCCCAAAATGCTACAGTTCCAGGCATGAGCCACTGAGCCACCTTGCTGTAATTTTTCAAACTGCATCATCTCTTCAAAGCAATTCCCTGAGCTTTTGCTTTAGAGAGCCACTGTTTCCGATGAGAGGAGGTCAAGCACCTCAAGAATGGGATGAGAGAAGTGTGGTGTGTGAGTGTGCATGGGTGTGTGTGAGTGTGTATGTTTGAGTCAAGGGAGAGGTGAAGGTCAATCAACATTACTGGGTGCCTTAAAAAGTAAGCAGAAGTCTTAAGGATGGGAGTATGCTTATAAATTCAGGATAAAATGGAAAAAATATGGGAGGGTTGAGAATCTAATTGGTGGGATTATATTTCATTTATTATTAATATTTCAATACTGTCCCAGAATTGTTTCTAGAAACCTATAATGTAGGCAAAAATTAGTTCTTGAGGCAAAGCTTTGATTATCAAAAAAAAAAAAAAAAAACCTCACAAAATGAAGGATTATAAACAAATACCTCTAAGTTAAGGTACTCTTTAATAACTAGAGAACAGAGTTATCAAAAGAGAATTCAGAATAAAGACTAATTGTTCACCTTATTTCCAAGACAGCCCATACAAGCAGAGGTCCTGAGGGAGGAAATGTGGCCATTTCCTGGACCAGGCATATCCTGTGGCCAGAAGCAGTCCTGGAAATATTAAGAAATGTGATATGTTATCAGTTTTTCCTTCTTCAGTTTTACCCATCTCCAATCTGCCTGCCTCCAGAATTATCCTTTTTTTTTTTTTTTTTGAGACGGAGTCTCACTCTGTCGCCCAGGCTGGAGTGCAGTGGCGTGATCTCAGTTCACTGCAAGCTCCACCTCCCAGGTTCACACCATTCTCCTGCCTCAGCCTCCTGAGTAGCTGGGACTACAGGTACCCACCACCACACCTGGCTAATTTTTTTTTTTTTTTGTATTTTCAGTAGATACGGAGTTTCACCATGTTAGCCAGGATGGTCTCGATCTCCTGGCCTCATGATCCACCTGCCTTGGCCTCCCAAAGTGCTGGGATTACAGGTGTGAGCCACCACGCCCGGCCAAAATTATCTTTTTAAAACACAACCCTCTCCTAGTGATGAGCTCAAGCAGCCTTGGACTTGCCACAGTGTTGTCCATGAGTTTTCCCTACTGCCCATCATTCCTTCCCCCACTCTCTCTGCTTCTGGATTACATTAACCCAAAACACCACAAATATTGTAGCATTCCATTCCCACTGGACTAAAACAGAACTCTCCATCATCTTCAAGATCTTTCCGCCAAATAATTTTTGGACTTCCACAGGCAGAATCTAACTCATTATTCCTGAACAAGTCTACTCATGCAGGCCTCTGCCTGGACACTAGGCATCAAGGTGCCCACTGCTCCTCTGTAGTACTCAACCAAGCCCTTGTAAACCAAAAATAAAATTCTAAGCCCCCCAACCAATTGAATGAACTTTCCTCTCACCCAAGGGCATTCCAAAGTAAACCTGGAAAACTAGTGCAAACCATGATGGGAAAGGGGGAGTCAGACTTGCCTCATTATATCCTTCTCCCTTTGGAATTCAGGCATAACTGACCATCATTAATATTAAAATAGAAATCTTAAGACTGACAAAAGACTCTTTGTAACAACGAAATATCAAATTTCAGTGTGACTACAGTATAACATCACATGACAGATAGCAGGTCTTGAAAGAAATTGAAATATTTTACCCCAAAATATACTTAAGTGATGTATTTTGAAATGGCCCTGCAAATCTGTCTCTTGTCAAGGAAATCTACATTCTGGAGAGATTCCCCTTACCTTTCCAGGTCTGTTCCTGATCCAAGAAAGATTAACTTAGAGTTTGGGATGTTTTTAACTCTGACAAGAAATATTTACCATCTACTCTCTCTGAAGCCTACTACCTGGAGGCTTCATCTACATAATAAAAACCTTGGTCTCCACAATTCCTTATCTTAACGCATATATTCCTTTCTATTGATTCCATGTCTTTAGATAATAGCTTAAATATTTAAACCATTGCCAATCAGAAAATATTTGGCCTGGAAGGACACCCCCACTTCACCCTCCACTTCAAGTTGTCCTGCTTTTTGAGACTGAACCAATGCCTACCTTACATGTATTGATTGACATCTGCCTGTAACTTCTATCCCTCTGAAATGCATAAAATCAAGCTGTAAACTTCTAAACTGATTGAGACTTGTCTCAGATTATTTTGATTTATCCCCTAGACCAAGATTTCACAGCAGTGTTACCTCTGCTCTGCCAAGCCTCATGTTCAATGACCCAAAGGCTTTGATGTATTAAACATCAAAAATTTTGGTAATATTCTGACAAATGGAGAAGAGCATTTGTATCCCTTTTGCATAAACCTCCAAGAACAGAGAAAGCAGTACCAAACTGTATGCCTCTTATCCCAAAGTTTGCAGATATTTAAACAAAGCAGTTATTTTCATTTCTATGTGTGGCAACTCTGTGCTGCTTAAGATCCACCCTTTAAAAAAGGCTAAGGCAGTCTAGGAAACAAACCCAAATGGCAGCCAGAGCACAGTTTCTTTCTTGGGAGTCAGCTACCCACTTCCTAAAACCTAAGGCCTCTCAACTGGTTCTCCAGACATGCCCAAATGTGTCTGTCTGGATCCCACAAGTGGAAACATTATGATTTCTTTCACAGGAGGATCCTCAATATCCCCAAAAATATTTCCATCAGATACAAACCTGAAGTTTTCCCAATAGCCTCAAGCACGCCTGGACCTGTAAGCAGACATGGCCCATGCTCAAGCTGAAACCCAGCTACACCTTGATTTATGGGTTGGATGGGAGAACATGAGTATCTGCCAAAAAAAGGAAGTATTTGAACCACATTTTGAAGAAAGAGTCAGATTTATGCAAACACTGTGGGGCAAAGATTCATGAAGAGGGAGCATGACAGAGAAAAGAATCATGACAGAGGCCAAATATCTAATGAATTCATTTTAATCAAACTTTGTTAAGGTGTCCAGAGAAGGACATACTGACATTCTTTGAGATCATATTGAGTCATAGTAACCACTCAATAAATTTCGTTGAATGAATAAATGAACAAATCATTTCACTTTCCTTAAGTGAATTAAATTTGGCTCTGAGTCCCAGCTTGCTACAGATGAGAAGGATTCCATTTCAGTCACTTTTGAAGGGGAATTCCTTCTCTTCCTAGGGTTTTAAAGACAATCAAGGAGGTTGACATGGTATCCAAAAAGTGAAAGATTGCTCCATCATGTTGTCATCTTCCAATCGTCTGTTTCGTGCATGAGGCTACTGGACGAACTTGTCCTCCCCCATCTAGCAGGTGAGGATGCTTCAGGTGAGCTCAGATGTACGTTCACAGCAGTCCTTTTCACTCAACAGAGGCCTGACCACAGAACCAATGCCTGCTCGTAAAGCTTCAGTGTCAGCCTCCACAATCCTCTCACAGACACCTCCCCATCTTTGATGCATCAGACATATAGGCCACGGATCTCCGCCACTCATGGAAACACTAAAAACACTACCTACCCCTGTCTCCACCACAGAAAAGGAAAACATCTCCTTTCACCTTTGAGTGAACCCCGTTCTATTTCCTGGGCCCACAGCACCTTATAAACCATGAGTTTATTAGTCCAAATAGAATTATGTGTGTTTTTTTCCAGGTGCTTTACAATTTTTGCTTTTAACCCTGATACCATAGAAACTATTGACAATCCCTTAGACAAGGAACTCAAACTCAGAACAGAAAGATTCACCTCTTTTATTATGATAAGCAAGAGGAAAACATCTCTTGTCCTTCCAGGTCTCTTCAGAGTAGCCAGAACAAAACCCAAAATAAGGTTACAGCATATAATTTTGCCCCATCATCACACTAATCCCCATGATACTGTGCATAATTGTGTCCAAAAAATTGAATTGAGAGTCAGAAGACTACACCATCCTGGATGCACTTCAGCACAGTACGATTCCACTATCTCCGCGTAAATTTTGTCCCAGGGACCTCCCAAGACTATCATGGAGATCAAGTGAGAAAAGAAATTTTATAAATGCTGGAAGCCAGGGAAAGAGTGCTTGCTAATATAGTGTGGACCATGCCAAGAGCCAATAGACAGCTATATTAGCTGTGCCTGCTCCCTATGATTCTGAAAACATATCCTCAGAGTTCTAGTAACCTGTCTGACCTTGGAACCAGTGCCCCATCTCTTCATGGGCTGTCATCACCATTTCCCCTACATTCTGGAAGAAGAACGAGCCCTAGTGATGACCCAGAAGAAATGCCAGGCAGAAATGCAATCCTTGGGCCACTGCAGGGCAAGAGAGCAGGTCAATCACCTGCGCAATGTTTGCTGTGGGGCCCGAGGCCTGAAAGGCTGCTTTGTTCAGCCACCAGGTAAGCTGCAAGAGGAAGGTGCTTCTCCAGCCACTGCCACCAAGACCTGCACAAAGCACTTATTCAGAGACCCAGGCCTAGCCATGCCCTCTGATGCTGCCTCTGACTTATTGGGTTGCCTATATAGAGATCATTTCCCCGCCTGCACCCTCCCATTCCTGACCCTGCTACTGCACAATGCCACTCAGAGGGCATGGGTAGAATATTACATTCCAGAGAGAAAAGGCAATGCTCAGGCTAAAAAGACCAGGCTGCAGTTGAGGACAATCCTCTTTCACCACAGAGCTCTCAATGTCCCTGCAGACAATAGGCCTCTGTGCGGCCCCATCTCCTTATGCAAGGACAATTTACATGTTTTCATCTTTGGAAACTTCAAACTGCTCAGTCCCCAGGAACAAGGAAATGTCTGTCTAGGAGGGATGAGGAGAGAGGTGAGATTTGTCCCTTCAAAATAATCTCCTAGCCAGGTTTGTTTATTCCCATGAGCAATGCCAGATTTTTGCCAGTTTATTCTTTAATTCATTTAAACAGTCAATCTCTACAGAACACCTACAGTGTGTAAGGCATCTTGCTAAGATGCCTAGCAAAAGATACCTAACCACAAAGAGAAAAATTAAATAAGACCACCGTGCCCTCAAGCAGATAGTGTCCAAGGGTCTGAAAAAGCATTTTGTGAATTGATTTTGTATGGGCATCCCTTTTCCCACTAAATTTTACACCTCACTTTTGATCTTCATTCTGTTCTGGCTCCTGAATGCCTTCTGAGTTATCATTATACGAGCATAAAGATCAAAATTTTGAGTTTCCCAGGCACTCTCCTACTAGCGGAAATGCAAACTGCTATAACACCAATTGGGGATAATTTGACAACATATTTTAAAACTACCTATGTGTTTACCCTTAACCCTAGCAATATTACTTCTAAGATTTAACCCTGAATATACACCTTTAATATATGTATATTATTACATATACATAGTGTTATCCAGTGCAATACTACTTTTATATGAAAAATATTGGAAAGTACCTAAATGTATCCAAGAATAAAAGACTGGTTGAATAAACCATAGTATATATACACAATGGAGTACTATGCTGCTGTTAAAAAAATGATGATCTCTACACTCTAATTTGGAGCAATTTCCAGGAGATACTGCTAAGTGCAAAAGCAAAATGCAAAGTAACACATACAGTATGCTATCTTTTGTGTAAAATATAAAAGAAAATGGGAAAACATAAAAGTCTCTGCTTAACCTTACCCCCC